GGTCGCCGGTACGGAGAACGTAGGTGCAGGGGCCAGCACCCCCACCCCGCTGACGAGCAGCGTACCACTCACGAAGCTGCTGGGGGGAAGGGGTCTCACGGGTACGCTGCTGCTGCTGCTGCTGGCGCGCACCACCACCGGAGCCACCCCTCTGCGCAGCGCCACCCCGACCAGCTCCGCCGCCTCCGCCGCTACCTCCTCCACTACCGCCACCTCCGCCACCTCCGCTCCCACCGCCACCGCCGCCTCCACCTCCACCTCCAGTCCCGCCACCGACGCCCCCACCCCCGCCACCACCCCCCCGTCACCCCCACCCCCTCCACCACCTCCACCTCCGCCTCCACCGCCCCCTCCAGCCCCTCCAGCACCCTTGCCCCCCTTGCCCTTGCCAGGGCGGCGTCTCCCGCTAGGGGCAGACGCCGCAGCGACCGACTCAAGACCAACGAGGTCGGCCGCAGCAGCAGAGGCAACAGAGGGCAAGAGGGGAGAGGGGGAGCACCCCTCAAAGACAGGGGTACGAGGGTCACCACGAGAGGCACCTACTGCGACTATGCTCTTCTCTGCCGCGAGCAGGCGCTCCTCGAGGAGGTCAACGGTGAGGGTGGTGGGGCAAACAGAGAGGAAGTGGTCCCTAACCGGGCGAAGGGTGTCAGGGAGCCGGGTGACTATGTAGTAGAGGGTGATGTACATGGGGGGGGGGGTCTTGGTGCAGAACTCAGCAGGAAGCGCAGCGCGGTAGCGAGTGTCACTAGTGCGAAGGTGCGTAATGAGGTCAGCGACAGTGGGAAAAGCGGCGAGGTCAGGGAAGAGGTACGGTAGGATAAGGCGGCTAAGCGCAGCAGTGGCAGGGGAAGAGTAGCGCGCAACTACAGCGTCGTACAAGGTCTTAGCACTCTTGTACTGGCTAAAGTGCGCACGCTCAGAGGTCGGCAAGTGGCGGCGCACAGCAAGGCGGGCAGCAGCATCGCGTGTGGCCCACTGGGAGCGAACAGTGGGGTCAGCATCAGCAGCAGGGGCAGGAGAGGCACCAGAGGTGAGGTCAAAAAGGGAGAGGCCGTCTGCTCTGTCGCTCAGTAGGAAAAGCTGCAGGTCATCTACCCAGACGTCAAAGTCAATGGCCCGACCCTCAGCGTCAAAAGTGAGGACACTGGGGGAAGCCATGACAGCAGTAGACTAGCAGTGAGAGCAGCAGGCTAGGGCAGAGCAGTGGTGGAGGCGCTGCTCTTACCGGGCAGGCGAGAAGGACCGAGGCGCGTCGGCAGGAACAGGGCCGGGACGGCAGGAACGGCGGCTCGGCGGCTCAGCGGCTCGGCAGCTCGTCGGCACCGGCGTCTCGGCGGCTCGGCAGCACGGCGGCAGTGGCGGCTCGACGGCTCGGCAACTCGGCGGCAACGACGGCTCGGCGGCTCGGCGGCTCGGCGGCTCGGCGGCGGCGGCGTCTCGGCGGCGCGGCTGCTCGGCGGGGCCGCGAAGGGATGGCGAAGGGGCCGCAAAGGGCGGCGGTGGGGTCGCACGGGTGGGGCGACGGGGGGTCGCGGGCGGCTGCGACCACAGGAGTCGCGCGCGGCTGCGGCGACGGGAGGGCAGGCGGCCGCGGCGACGAGGTCGCAGGCGGCTGCGACTGCAGGGTCGCGGGCGGCGGCGACGGTAGGGTCGCGGGCGGCTGCGACAGCAGGGTCGCGGGCGGCGGCGACGGCAGGGTCGCGGGCGGCTGCGGCGACAGGGCGGGCGGCTGCAGCGGTAGGGTCGCAGGCGGCCGCGGCGACGAGGTCGCGGGCGGCGCGAAGGGCGACGGGGTCGCGACGGGCGGCGTCGGGGTCGCGGGCGGCTGTAACGACGCCGCGCAGGGCGACGCGAGGGTGGGGCCGCGGGGTCGCGACAGGGGGGCGCCGGGGCCAGCAGAGGCGGCGCCGGGGCCGGAAGCGCGGCGCGACGGGGCCGCTAAGGGAAGCGAGGGGAGGGGAGCGCGACTCGGGCAGGGGCGGAGCGCGCTCCGGGCAGGAAAAAAAATCTTACGGTGGGCCCTAGGAACAGTTCCCACGAGGGAACCTGCTCTATACCATGTGACAATTGGAACGAGAATGAATGCATTGAGCAGCATGAGGAGTACAAGTACCAAACCCTAGAATGTTGTACCCCATATGAGCTACCCCACTACAGCCTAGACAGACTATAGTGTATAAGTTTGACAATGGGATCTCATGCTATCAAATGCTGACAGAGTTAAGATAGACATGGGCAAGATATAAGTTAGGGCTTGTTGGTGGGAATGATATTTGGATAACCTTATATTAGTCTAATAAACAAAACGAGTCCGCCTTTGGAGGTAGGTTGGTGAGTTCTGCAAACGAGAGTTTTGCTCAAATCCTTGGAAGCGCGTTTCGTTTTAATATCGCCACGTGGCAGCACTACGATCGCGCAAAGCGCGTTCTGTTTTATTTTCCCCACACTAGCAATGTTTTGATACTTTAGCCGTGTTTAGAGATGACTCTTGAAATTTTTCGGAGCTCGTGCAAGACAAACTTGCAACATTAATGCATGCAGGTTGGATGGCACGCAAGCAAGTGGTCGAGTTGGACGGATTTACTATTCCATGGCGACAATCGAATCACACATTGTTGACAAAAAAAATAAACCCATGGCTTACGGCATGCCATTCGGGAGCCTCAACCCTAAAATTTTAGGGTTGAGGCTCCCTCGGATGGCATGCCATCCGAGTGGGTTTTAGTTTTTTTTCTTGCCCGCAGTCAGCTTGCTGAATAGATTGCACTGCCTGCTTACGCAGGCAGTGCAATATATTACCCATTTTGTCTCAATGCATTTGGCGCGCGAAATACTGTAGTCCCAACAGAAGCGTGCAAGTAAAATCTGGTACCCTATGTTTGACAAGACAAAAACCGTTGGAACTGTAGCATTGATTCCCCTCCAAAAAATTTCGACGTCGGCCCAGTACATGGAACCGAATGTACTTAACCAAAATTCACCGGCCATTTTCAGGTGCATGCCGCACTGTAGGGAAAGGCTTCTCAGGTGCATGCTATCGCGTCGTGATTCTCCCCTTGTTGCCACTGTTTGTACCCATCCGCCACTAAAAACACTGTTCTGTCAGGGGATGCAACCCACGCGACTTACACCAACAGGCCCAGCTCTCGCACGAACCCGTCGTCCAACCACACCAGTCGCAGCCACCCCCAAGGGAGGGATGCATGCGCAAAATCTACGCGCAAGTTCCTTTCCCCACCCCCCCCTCCCCCACCCTCTTCTCCCTTCTATCCAACAAGTGCTGGGCCCTGATGTTACCAGAACACAACACGGAAACCCTAATCCTACGTTACGAGATCTTACACGTAAAGGACCCCTCCTTAGAGGCTCATAGCAGGAACTTACACTACTAAGTCCAAAGTTAGATACAGTTCACGATGACAGTTACTAATAGTCTGACTCAGCTGGTTTCCAACATTTGCGGTGCGCTATCATAAAGGACTCGCCAGCGTTACTGTCTATGGTAATTTCCTTCTTGCTTAATTAGCTAGTAATAAAATTCTCTAGGAACGTGACACTCCCACCGTCTCGTGACTCAGTAATGCCGGCACGTTAGGCCGCTGGCATCAACTTAACGAGCCACGATTCAGGATCAGGTGTGATAGATTGTTGATTCAACAAAGATCAAGTCTCCAGATGGTTTAAACTTGAAATTTCTGTTTAGGGTAATGGACTCATAATCAATGAGCAACTAAAGAGTGACCGCCAGTGTGCGACCGTTCATCCTCTGAGTATGTGCATTCCTCTTTTTTCTTACCTGTGTGTATTCCCTCCTCCACCCTCCTTCCATCCCAATGCTCTTGCAGATGGCTAGTGGTGGTAAACGCACATTGGATTTTGAAATCGGTAAGCGTTACCGAGACGCCATTGAGGCTCGAGATGACATTGAGCGCCAATGCCATCGTGCAAAGGTGCCACACATCTTCGCTGTCAATGGTCCGAAAAGGTTGGATGTCAAGTGCCCGTCTGCTTTTAAGCGGTCGCAGAGGGGGAGTGTCCAGAATGACATTCGCTGCCCTTTCAAGATTAACATTCGGGCCACAAGCGAGGGCGACCTGCGTGTTTGTAACACTCACTTAGAACACCATACCCGTTGTACCGCTCGCCCTCGCCCTGCACGTAGGAAAAGCCTCATCGCACTAGCAATGTCACTGCCAACAGTTGGCATCACCCCAAAGGTTTTACAAAATGAAGCCTTGCATCGTCTTGGGGCAAAGACTTCGTATGCCACAGCGTGGCGTGCCTTGAACGACCTGAAGGAGAATGACCCTTTGCAAACTGAGAAATCATATCAGTTTGTCAAGAGCATCATAGAGAGACTAGTGGATAACAACCCTGGAACTTTGGTTACCCTTAGCAAGCATGCAGGTCGGTTTTTTAGTGCCTCTGTGATTCCGAGTGTGGCGAGATCCACCATGCTGAACGCCATACCTATCTTGATTGTGGATGGCTGCCACAATAAGACAGTGTGGGGAGGTCACACTATCAATCTGGTAGTGCTTGACGGAGAGGGTCACTACGTGTCAGTTGGCATTGCTTTTGTTGAGTCTGAGAGTAAAGAGGGCTGCTCTTTACCATTGAAGGAGCTACTTCGTGTCTTCCCAGAGCTGAACACACCGGCATGGACAGTGAAACACGACCGTGCAAAAGGATGGGATGCTGCATGTCGAGACGTGCTCCCCAATGCACGTGTCTCTTATTGCGTGACACACCTGACACGCAATTTCAGGGCCAAGTTCGGCATGGACTTGAGCCAGCTCATCCGAGACGCCTCAGAGACATTGACGGAGCAACTGTATGAGTTTCGTATGAACAAGCTCAATGAGCAATGTCCCGGTGGCCGATTATATTTGGAAGGGGAAGACGGCCAGCTGGCCACGCGATGGGCAACTGCAAAGTTTCCTGGTGCTCGGTTTGGTTGCCTCACGTCAAATCCTGTTGAGTCGCAGCATGCCTCAATGTCACAGCTGCGAAACAAGGCAATTGGCTATGTCATTTTGCGTTGGGCGCTGAAACTTGCTCTCATTCGGAGTGATCGGCTTACGGCATACTCCAACACCGTGGGGGAGTGGTGCACAACTGCCACTGAGGTTGTGCGAGGCAACTTCAATGATTCTTCTAGCTACTCTGTGCGCCAGCTTAATCAAGCGTCACACCGCTGGCTGGTCGAGCATGAGGAGCGTAATGAAGAGCGAATTGTGGACTTGCAAGCCAAGACGTGCACGTGCAACTATAGCAGGTACGCACATTGTATGTGCACAAGTATTGCCGTCACTAATCTTCTAACGTTCATCAACATAGTGTATGTTTTTTATCTGGTAATGTCAGTTGCTGCATCTACACATGCATAGTGTTCATTAACAATGCCATTCACACACTCTTCAACACAACAGGGAGTACGGGCTTCCCTGTGTCCACATCTGTGCTGCTTCCGGAGAGGGTCGGCTGCCGTTTGACATGGTTCACCGCGTCTACAAGGTGGAGACGCTGAAGGCAATGTATTCAGAGGAGTTGGTTCCGGTGGATCCTTCGTCGTGCATTCCGGACAGAATTACGCTCCCTCCGAAGTACAAGAAAAGGCCAGGGCGGAGGAAAACAAAGCGCATCCGCTCAAGAGGCGAGATCAACCCTGAAAAACTGCGAAAATGTGGTAGGTGTAAGGTTAAGGGGCACAACAGTCGAACATGCGAAGAACGCGAAGAGGCAAGAGCACTTTGGGCCAATAGGTCAGTAGAAGATCATATCACGCTGCAAACAAGTGTGGTTCCACGTGTTGGAGGAAGTTATCAAGCGTGTATTGCATGTGGCCGTCGACACAGGCTGCGGGATGATTGTCAACGTGGACAGCATCGAGGGGGGGGTGGAGGGGAGAAGAGGAGAACAACAAAGGGGATGGGAGCATCAGAGAGAGGGGCAGCAGCAAAGAGAAGGGGAGCAGCAGAGAAGAGGGGAGGAGCACAGAGGAGGGGAGCAGGACAGAGGAGGGGAGCAGCACAGAGGAGGGGAGCAACATAGAGGAGGGGAGCAGCACAGAGGAGGGGAGCAGCACAGAGGAGGGGAGCAGCACAGAGGAGGGGAGCAGCACAGAGGAGGGGAGCAGCAGAGGGGAAGGGAGGAACAAATGGGAGGGGAGCACCATAGGGTAAGGGGAGGGGAGGTGCAGAGTGGAGAGACCCAGCAGAGGAGAGGGGAGGGGCAGAGAGTAGGGGGCGAGCAGAGGGAAGGGGAGGTGCAGAGAGAAGGGGTACAGCGGAGGGGAGGGGAGGCTCAGATAGGAGGGTGCCAGCAGATGGAAGGGGATGTGCTGACAAGAGGGGGGCAGCAAAGGGGCGGAGAGGTGCAGAGAGGGGGGGGAGAACAGAGGGGAGGGGAGTTCCATAGTGGAGGGTGGGAACAGAGGGGGGGGCGGGTGCAGAGAGGAGGGGAGCAAGAACAGGGAAGGGAGGTGCAAACTGGAGGGGAGCAGCAGAGGGGACAGAGAGACGTTCCAGGCATTGCTAGGGAACGTGGTTCAACCCCACCTGCTGAGTGGGTGGTTGAAATCGAAGACATTGAGGAAGGTCCGAGCGTGGAACGTGATAATTCCGAAGGGGAAAGTGAAGGAGGGGAAATGGAAGAGCAAGACATTCAGGTAACAGATGGGCCCGATGCAACGGCGAACGGTAGCGCACATGTGACTGCGGATCATGCGGAGGTGGAAAACGGGGGCGGGGAAGATGTGGAGGAGGGCACGTCGGACGACGATTGTGATTGTGATGAACCAGAACTAGATGAAGGTGAGCAGGAGCTGGATGCTTCAGGTGGGTCGGGAGGTGTTGGGACGTATGAGATTCTAAGCATGGGAGATGCTCAGCGGCAAATGGAGGGCCCGTATGGTCATCGTGAAGATATGGTTAGTGGGGACATTCCTGGCATGCTCACATCTGGTGCCCAAAGACGCGGAGGGATCATCATTGAACCTGAAACTGTTGAGAACCAAGCCACGGAAGGTGATGTTCCAAGCAGTACAGTGGCAGCGACCAATGTGACAACGACTTTGAATGAAGGGCAAGGTGAACCACAAACGGAACAGGGTATTTTGAGTACTTCAGCCAACCCTATGTCTCAGTTTTGGTCAGTAGTCCGTCTCGAGAGTCCGCCTAATGGTACCGATCCAGTCGCCACACGAAGGTTAAGGCGTCGACAGAGGTTCAGGTTACAGGTTGAGGTTGTCCCTGAGGAAGGTGAGGAGGAGGCCGATGACCAAGATGATGACGCGAATGTTGTGCGTGGACGGAGACGAACAGCTCGCCAAAGGACGCAAGTGAGCCAAAACAGGGCCCAGCGTCCAAGACGCCAAGGTCGACAAAATGAGAGATCAAGGGGAAACCAGCAGGTACAACAGCCTCAGAGTGAGACATCACTGTTGGTGCAACAGCTACAACAACAGGTAATGCAGCTGCAGAGTCAGTTGAACAA